TCCATAATATTTGGGGGAGGGGGGCACAACAATACAATTCTGCTTAGGGCACCCATTTGTCCTCTGTAGATTACTTAAATATTAAGTAATAAAGAGGGGAAAAGAAACACATTACCAGTGATAAGCAAAAAATACTTGCAGTATCTCCGAGTGCTTGAAGTATCCGAAAGTTTACAGACGATCACAGTTATGGGTTTTTCTTTTTTTCTCAACATTATTACTGTTTGATTATTCCTGATGACATCATAGACAGCGGCAGCTTTAATAGGCTGCATTCACACTAATGCACAGATCTATTTCAACATATCAGATGTTTCGTCCTGTCCTTAAGACATAACTGACTGTGTTTACATGAATTTCTTATCATAAAGTATTTGGAGATGCGAGTGCTTTTAATCTCTCACACGGAGTTGCGCACAGCGACAAGCGCGCTTCAGAACGAACACACGCAAAGCACACTTGAGCGTCTCTCAGTACATGAGTTTCATGTATCCAATGTGTACTGTGTTCCAAACAGCATAGACAATGCCTTCGTCGAGCATATCTAACATAAAACACTGAAGAAAGCACACACTGTCAAGCAATGCACATGTTTCTCACAGGCATATCCTGTGCAGTGAAGCCCACAATTGTCTCTAGCGCACATTCTACATACGGAAAAAAAAACAAAGCTCAGAATCGTTGAACAGAGAATCGCGATCCATTTTTTTTTTTCAAGCACATGTTGCATGCTTGACTTTAACTGCACTGTATAAGCTGCTTTGGTATAAGTAATATAATTAGCAGAACATTTCAGATGATTAAACAATGCAACTTATGTTCCAGAAAATACAGTAAATAGACACCGAAATGGCTTAATGTTGGCCTGTAATTTGGCCATAGTTTTTGTTCGTTTTAGCCATCAGACATTGTAGACTCTAGGTGCGTTTCCATTACAGATTTGCGCAAAACTTTGGCAATATTTTATAAATGTCGATAAAAAAGTATTGCGAAATGACGGCGTTTCCATTAACCAATGTTATCCGACTAAAACGTAACCTTTTGCTTCTCGCGATAAGTCATGGCAACGGATTTTGGTGGGATTTTGGCTATATTTATTCAAAGGAGACATATGCGTGTATCTTTACAGAAGCAGCAAAGAGAGCCGCTTCAGAAACGTGCGTGGCGCGGCTGGAATAAACCATAGACTGTATTTAGAAAGATCACTGCTACACATTTCCAACCAGTCAGAGGCCATTTATTGTAAAATGCACGTATTGATTTCATTTTGTAGCACCAAAAAAAAAGACAAAACAAGTCCTTTCAACCGTCTTTCTGTGAAGAAGAGAACTGTTGCATAGTAAGCGGATATTATGGGGGTTCATTTTTGTCTGGGAGTCAGTAGGCGCGTTTCCATTACAGATTTGCGCAAAACTTTGGCGATATTTTATAAATGTCGATACAAAAGTATTGCGAAATGACGGCGTTTCCATTAACCAATGTTATCCGACTAAAACGTAACCTTTTGCTTCTCGCGATAAGTCATGGCAACGGATTTTGGTGGGATTTTGACGGATTTTGGCTATATTTAGCCATTTGGCGTATGCGTGTATCTTTAGAGAAGCAGCACAGAGAGCCGCTTCAGAAACATGCGTGGCGCGGCTGGATTCTGCAATAAACATGACCATAGTGGCCGCAATCAGCTTCAGTGGCCGTTATCAGAGCCACACTGCACCACAGACGTGTGCAGTTTAAATTGTCTAAGCATTTGGCCGTATCAGAGCCACACTGCACCGCAGACGTGTGCAGTGTAAATTGTCTAAGCATTAATGGTAGGGAAAGTCCATTATACTGGATAGCGGCCACGTATGATGTGTTTCTTGGAGGTTATAGTGCATTGAAGAATGATCATATGACTTTTTACATATGCCATGTGACCTGTAAATGCGAAAAAGCCGTTTCCATTGCAGTTTTGCAAATTATTCCTTTTTCGCATTGCCTGCAATTTTTTTTTAACATTTTGCGATATATGGGCGTTTTTGCGAAATTGACGTGTTTCCATTAGGCGTATTTTCAATTCGCAATTTCAATTTGCGCAATTTGAAGGGTAATGGAAACACGCCTAGTGTGTAAATGACTTATTAAACAGTATAGATGTCTTCTGCGATTGTAAGTCCACAACTCACAGTCAGCAAGCTCAAAACTACAGTGTCCTAGTTTTAGCGTGTCACTCACTTGCGTTGTATAATTTGCTTTGAATAACAGTTGAGTTTTTATGCTGGGGATTGAGCTGGATCAGTCCCCTATACTCAAACTGATCTCTCAGTAATATCCCACAGCAGAAATCATGCTGTGTTTAGATCAGAGGGCTTCGTCCAGCAGAGAGACTTGCTTAGAAATAGCATCATAGACTACACAAATGGCCCATATAAGGGAAAATTATACCCCCATAACACTTAAAATCTCAACAGGCTGAGTAGAAATGCTTTGATTTCTGTCTTTTTTTGGACACACTTCATGGACTTCAAAAAGTTGTACAGAAAATGGCATAGTCTGCTGCACCAACTAGTGCGAGGAAAGACATGCTCTTAAAGTATTTTACGTTTCAGACTCCCTGCTGTGTACATCATATCATTACTGAACACGAGCTCACAGAGAGAAACCCAAAAATTACTCCCAAATTCTTCATCTCCTCTGGACAATCAAGATTTGCCTTTCTTGAACTCAATTTGGCTTGTTTTGTGGCTTCTCTGTGAAGTCCCGGTGTTTGGTGGAGACACCAGCAATGGTTTGTGTGAAAGGACAGAGGCTCATTGTTCTGGAGCTGTTAGGAGGGCAGCTTTGTTCGTGACCCTGTCCAAATGCGCTCAGTATCAGACCCACCAGGGATTCCCTGACATTTAAGTGCTGTACAGAGGTTTTTCTGCTGAAATTGGATGGTATGGTGTCTTGGTAATCCTGTATCCTTATCTGAACAGTTAGTCAAATTAGTTGGTCTTAAAGGGTTAGTTGCCTCAAAAACTTAAATTCTGTCATCTTTTACTCAATCTCATGTCATTCCAAACCTACATACTTGTTTTTGCAAAATGCTAAAGAAGATATTTGAAGAATGTTGAGGTCCAAACAACATAGGATTTTTCAGAGTGTCGTCTTTGAGCAGAAGAAAGAAAATCATACAGGTTTGGAACAGACTATTCGGCAGAACGCAGTGGAAAAGAACAGATCACAAGGATCATTTACTAGTATTTTTAAGTTAAAACGTCTTTAAAAACACTCGAGACCATTTTAGTTTGAATTGAATTTGGATGGAATGTTTTAAAGAACGTGATCACACCTGTTCTAACTTAACGTCCTTAAAGAGATCATTTGCTTGAAGCACACATAATGCGGTATGTGCCAAATTAAACAGAAATGGATGACTGAATCACGTGATAAATCAGACACCTGAATTCCAATTAAATTCCAGTCTGCATTGCTAACATTTGGTGAACATCATTGAGATGCATGTAGCTAAAGCTCTCGAGGTTCAAAATGATCCATATGCTTCACTTTCAGTAAAATATGGCAATTTGTTGGTCTGGTGTCCTCCCATGAGGAAGACACATGGAATGAGATTCATTCATCTCTTATAATCTTTATTTTCCTTCTGAGGAGACATTGGATTCAGAATGGAGTGTTTCTTGGAAATCCTGCATTTTTGTCTCTGCAGAATAAAGCTGAAGTTAAACTGGAGAATAAAGTTTACCTCCATTCACAGAGCAGTTTCTCTGTAGAGTCATAACTCTGTCATCACATTCCTCTCCATTCCCAAAAGTACTCATTCATTAGCTGCCATCGTTCAAAAAATCTACATAAAACGTTCAATGAATCAGCGAAAAGCGAAAGTGTATAATAGTTTTTAGAACATGTAAAACTTCATAAATAGATGTTTTTATTGTAGCTAATGTTTTTTTGGGGTGGATTTGTGTGCTTGCTGGTTTTTGAGTCCACCGGAAGCCTCAGACATCCTTTCATGAGTAGTGAGTGTGTAAAAAGTCTCTGTATTTTTACTCATCTCTCTGGAGACAGGGTATATACAGGAATCATGGAGTTACATTTAATACCTTTTAAGACCTTTTTTAAGACTCTTTCCATACATTTTAAGACCTCATTGCCACTCCATGTTTTAACCGGTTACATTGGCGACACTTTAACTTACACGGCAAAATAAAGCTCTCCGAACTAACGGGACAATGAGTTCACACGGTATATTCAAAAGATGTATTTGTCACATCAACTCTTATAACTGTCTGCAAACCATAGCTGTTTTGTGGAACACTTCTCATGACAAACATCTGACCGATCAGACAGTTTACCTGTGATTACGGAGTGCTTGATTTGATGAATAAACTACACAGAACCCCACTATTCGGACAAATATACATAATGAAAAGATGATACAAAATTTAATACCTTGCAAAATGGCATTTAAGACTTTTTAATACTTATTAAGGGCCTTAATTTTCTCTAAATTGATTTATCTATTTTTAATACTTTTTAAGACCCCACGGACACCCTGGGAGAAAGATGAACTCTGTCCTATGGTCCACATCTCCCAGCATTCGCTGGGACTGATATCTGTTTCCTGGCTACAATATTACTGTCTTTGCTGTATTTTGGATTAAATAAATGCAGCCTTGCCCTTGGTGAGCAGAAGAGACAGAACAACTCAACACACAAAACCGTTTCTGCCAAGCATCATTTGAATAATCCAGCTGAGCAGTGATGGTTTCAGCATTAAAGTAAACGTTCCTGTTGCCAGCAGAATCATTGGCCCTGTGAAGTGTGTTTAGGTTGACTGTGTTCCACTGAAAGCATGAAGGCTTTCATTGAGCTTTGACTTATAAGGGTTAACTGCATCGGCCTGAACCCCCCCTCTGCAGAAAATGTGCGGAATGTTCCCCTTTCCTGTGGGACGGGGTCTGTCTGTCTGTTGAGGTAAAAAGCCAAAAACAGTCTGGATTGGGACAGGAAGTCCTCACCGTGGGCTGGAAAACAGCAGCGAGTGTCTGAACTGCACATTTTGCAAAGTGCTGACACTTTCTTAATGTGTTTACTGCGTGTGTTCATTGGATTCAATAAACCTTTCCGTCGTGTGCTTTAACTTTAGCCCCTGATTTATTTTCAAACTTATAAACATGTATCAGATTCAGTTATAACATTGTTAGGTATTTCTCTGAGGTTTTTGCTGAAGGTTTAAGTGAGAACAGTGAGCAATTAAGGTTGTGACAGTGAGTGTGTTTACATCTGCAGTCTTCTGTGATTATGCTTAAGCCGAAATCATGTAAGGTCATGGAATAGCCTTGTGTCCTTTTATTGGGAAAAGGTAATAAACAAAAAATCCAGTCAACACCTCATTACGAGGGTTATTATAGTTAACTAAAACTAGTTTACTTATATGTGTGTGTAAAGACAAACATTTTATTTCAGCTTGAACTTATTTTTAGTTTAAGTTGATGTACTAAAATAAATTTATAAAAACTATATAGACATTACATAAATGAATAACATTTTATTTCAGCTAGTGGCTAGGCTTGCCGCGATAGACGGTGTTGACGGTGATACCGTTGTTACTAATAAACTTAGCATTTTTTCAACCTTCAGTACACAGTTGACTCTTGCCTGAGTGTAGTTTATTATTATTAACTTAGCGTTTCTTATTTATTTGGTTATATATTATACGTTTACTTATTTCCAGTTTTGTATAGGCTACCTATTTAAACTTTATGAAAGTTATTTGTTATTTTATATTAGGCATAGCCTGCCCTATAGCATGGTGTATTTTTATTCGTTTTGTTAATAAAAGTTCAATGTTTTATATATAGGCTAAAGTGAGTTTGACGTTGTATTTTGTTGTTGCATTCAAGCAATTGACGCCGAATTGACGCTAATTCGAAAGTGAAAGTAAAATGCGCATGGTGCTTTTAAGCTATTTAAAAGTGAAGGAAAGCGAGGAAAAGAGGGAAAATTCAAACAAACTAAAAACGAACAATTGCTTTACACCAAATTGCCGCTATTTGAAAGTGAAAGTAAAATGCGCATGCCGATTTTGCAAGCTATTTAAAAGCGGAGGAAAAGAGGAAATGCCCCTGCCCTCACAGTGATAACCGGTATTATCGGTGTTGTCACACGTCGATTAACCGGTGGGAAAATTTCCTCACCGTCACAACCCTACTAGTGGCCAATGCAACCTTTCTCATGTTTTAGTTTATAAGTACTAAAATAACTAAAACGAATTATTAATATTACACTATATAGACATATTATTAAAAAATAATAATTATAAAAAAAACTACAAATAGCAAAAACGTGCAACAAAATTACTAAGATTTTATTTTTATATTTCCTGTTTTCACTTTAATTTTAAAGTTTAATTCAAAATATTAACAAAAACGAAAATAGTATATCAATGATACTAAAATAACACTGGTGCACAATAAGTTCATTATATCAAATGATTAATTTATATGTTAGTACATAGTACACTTAATATAAAGTGGCTCCAGTGTAACTTACATTTAAGATTTTTGTTCTCATGCGCAGATGCCCATCTCTACTAATAGAGTCACGTTGACATGAGAGGAAGCATGTCACACACAAAATGTGTATCTGTTGGTTGTGTGTTGTTTGGCAGCATGTGAACATGGTGTTCCTCCTCAGATCCTGCAGGCGCTGGGAAAGTCTTACCACCCAGGCTGCTTCCGCTGCGCCATCTGCAGTGAGAGTCTGGATGGAGTGCCTTTCACTGTGGACACAGAGAACAAGATCTACTGTGTGAAGGACTATCACAGGTGAGTTTGTGTGGAGCTGCAGGTCCGTGGCCAGTCACAATTCTTGATTATACGTTTAAGTGTGTTTATTCATTGATGGTTTGATCCGACCTCTTTTTATGTCCAGAAGACTTTTAAGTTCATAAGACTACACTGGCTGTGCCGTGTGTTTGTTTTTATGTGCAGACCACAAGCATAACTCTACAAAAAGAAGTGTTTTCCTGGTATCATTTTTGCCGTACATTGTCTTTTTGAACAAATGGTTTATTTTGCTGTCACTGGAGATTTTGCAGTGGCCTTGTGTTTTCAATCATCTAAACTGCCTAAAATTAGAATTATTGTGAATTTTAACCTTCACTTTCAGATATCATCATATTTTTGTAATAACTTTAAAAGTGAACACAATAAACTACACTCAGGCAAGAGTCAACGGTGTACTGAAGGTTGAAAAAAGTAACTGAATGACTGAACTTTGCTCTCAGGGCAAGAGCAAATAGTTCATATCTGTTGTTACTATATATCAAGGGTTTCTTTGTAGCCAAGACTTTGCTTTTTTTGTGCCTATTGAAGTTGACTTTCCTAATTAATCTACCCTGGGAAATACTGATTCAAGTTTAAAGTGTGACAACTAGCCCAGCTACTCCCCTAGTTAGTAATAAAGTTCATGTAATGATGGCATTTCCTTATTTTAACACTGCTTTTTATTCAAGAACTTTAAACTGACCAAAACTGCAAAAAGGATGACCATATACACTTTGTCCAGATATTATTATTATAGCCCACTGTTGATGGCTGCGCTCCATAAAAATCATGACTTAAGGTCTGCATGCACTGGAAATTGTGACGTATGTATCCGAGTGTAACAACTCCTCGAACAAGAAAAAAATGAAGGGCAAGATTTTGTCCATTGGAAATTAATTGACTGTTGTTTGCTAATTGCTGTGTTTCATATAAATCATAATCTTTAATCAAAATTGATGTGCACCAATAAGTCATGTACAGTATAATAAATACGGCATTCCATTAAAAAATAAGAATTGTCCGTTTTTATTTTATGGTGACTTTTGGCTGGCAAAGCAAAGATTAACTGCAGATGTATAAAATGAGCTGTATATTTCCTTCAGTTGATGGTAGATGTGTGCTATGTGGTGTTCAGCATTCTCCATAATTTCTTCCACAGGCATTTTCCTAGCAGTAGCTTGATGTAATGGCATTTTATTGTGAGTTTTATTGGTGTAGAGGGTGTGTGTGCAAATTCTTCTCATGCATCCTTTGCCTTGAGCAGTGAACTGAGCGATGATTACTGTTGTTCCAAAACCCCAGACAGACAGTCAGGTGGTGACCATATGGAGATGAAATCAAACAGTGCTTTCCCACTCTGTCCTTCTGGGATTGGGCTATTCACAGGCTATTCGAAGAGCCAGCAGATCTGCAGTCTAGTCCAGTGCCTTTCTTCCCCTCTTCTCAATCGACCTTTCACTTCCAAGTCATAGAGTGGCTCAAAAAGTATTTGGGCACACCTGTAAATGATATTTTGTTATCTAACGCAATGACAATCAGACAAAGCAAACGAAAAAAGAAGCACTTTGCAAGCAAATATTTAACAAAAATGGGTTTTAAATAACAAATAGACGATTTATGAGAGAGTAGTTGCATTATTCACTTAACCGTTTTGTGCAAAAATACGAATTAATTTCACAACTTTGTATTCCTTTGAAATGGAGAATGGTTCATTCTGCTTTGGCTTTGTTTGAAATCATTTTAGTTGAGAGAGCAAAATCAGTCTGCCAAAAAGAAAGTAACTGGAAAAATTGTTTCTAAAATAGAACTCACTTAGTATTAACTTGTTTATTGAACTGTTGTATACATGCAATGCCACACTTGAAATTGTGCTGTTGGATCTGAATGTAAATATTGATTTTAAGAACAACAGCATTAAAAGCATTTACTATTGGCTATATAAACCCCATAACCAATTCACCAGTTGGCTAACATTTATTGCAAAAACGGTTAGTTCTGAGAAAAGATCTAACATCATTTGTTTGAAGAAGACTGTTTTTTTGGTATTTTATGTAATGTAATGGCATTCACACATTTTAAGTGTGGCTAAAGTGCCCCTAAGTATGCTATTGTACTCTGGATAAAGAGTCATGCTGATATGACTTTAATTGAAAAAACCATTTAGTGGATGATCTGTGTGATTAGTATTCTTTCTCTTTTCATCTTCAGAGTTCTTGCACCTAAATGTGCAGCATGTAATCAGCCGATCCTGCCCTCTGAGGTAAGACACCAATTCAGCCTGAACTCCATAAACTCTCTTCATACAGAAACAAATCTCATTTGACTGTACCCCAGGACCCCAGAAAATCACTTGGAGTCTGAAATTTAGTCAAGCCGTATTCTCAGCCTGTGTCATAGAATCAGCTTTCTCTGTATTAGAGCCTCGTGTCACAGCACTGCCGATGTCAATTGAGATGGTCATTTGTTATTTGTCCCATAACAAGCAAAAAGACATCATAAGGCTAGATAGCCATATGATGTCTTTTTGCTTGTTATGGGACAAATGAACCAATCAGAGCATGGGAATGTTCTACTGAGAAGACCTTTGCTTAAACTATGTAGAACATCTAGGTCATTCCAGAACAGTTAAACCTTCTTTAGGCCTGTTACTGAATGTAATTCTGTTAGCACTGATGAAGGAGTGATTACTACTAAGTTAGGGCATGTGTAATTTGTTAAAGCCCCCCCCCGTCTATAATTAGAGACGACCCGCGAGGCATGCTGCTCTCCAACACCAGCAAGAGCTCCGTTATCTTGCACCTGCATGGAGGCTCTTATGAGAAACTCTACAGGAATTCCTCTTCTCTGATCACAGCCGAGTGTACTGTAACATTAACACTGCTCACAGCTGAACCATCGCTTTACCCAGAAAAGATCAGAAAGCAAAAAGGAATGGTTCACTCAAAAATGAGGTGACTTTTTTCATAAAACAACAGTTCATAGTGACAGTGACTAAATAATGACAGAATATTTATTTCTGGAAAAGCAACAATAAACATTAACCAACCCAGGCTCATGGGAAATATGTGACTCTGCCTACATTTCTGCAAAACTCCAAAAACGCACCTGCATTATACATTAAATTCACTACAATTTCCAGCTGAAATGAACACTAGAGGCAGTAAAACGCCAACAACCTTTATTCCTTTACACACAAATGTTGATAACAAGGGCAGATAATTGATTAATGAAGACTGCATGGTTCACAATATTGCACAATACTATATTATGACCTCAAAACACTTTTACCAAATTGCATGATTTACCATGATACCTTGTTTTCTCCCATAGGAATCAGATGAAACCATTCGAGTTGTTTCCATGGACAAGGACTACCACGTGGAGTGTTATCACTGTGAGGTGAGCTTAACTTTGGAGATGACGATAGTAATAGTCAACACTCAACGGTGTCATCTGTGCTGATTTCTTGTTCTTCTCAATGGTTAATGCAAGTAAAGAAACCTTGTTGTTGAAAAACAAATCACCACTTCCCCTTGAGGCCTTGCATGCCTTGACATGTGATGTTAATAAAGATCTGCTCATGTCTTAGAACTGAGGAACATGATTTTGAAGAGTCATGTGAGTGTGAATCTCTTCCCACAGGACTGTCATGTGGAGCTGAATGACGAGGAGGGTCACCGCTGCTATCCTCTGGATGGACACCTGCTCTGTCACGCGTGTCACCTCAAACACACAGACCCTGCCGCCTCACCGTCTACAGCACACAACTACCACAGTCAGTTTTAAACATCTGCCACCCCCTAGTGGGTGTTTAGAGACATCAAAGATGCTCAGATATTGAAAAATCACAACTGAGATTGAGATTACAAACTGTGTGACACATTATTATTATTATATATTGTATTTTGTCTGAATTATTTACTTTACGGTTTTGTTGTTTTTGAGATTTGCATTTATTCATATTTTATTAGTTTGGATACAAAAGAAAATAGTTGAGCCTTGCTTGTATAATTCAAATGTTGTAAACAATGAGCCACTGGCTTATGCAAAAATACTGCTACAGATTTTTGCAAGTAGCGCAACCATTACATATATTGTTACAAAACTGAATTTCTCAAATGGCACCCTAATAGTGTATAAACATTTATTTAATTAAAACTGTGCTCCGTAATTGTTTTGATGGTCCTGTGCTGGTCAATATGGCAAAAAAGTTTTTTGGTTTTTTTGGTGATGTTATTGCAGACATGCCTAATACACAGTCAGCCACGATTTATTACACAACTGAAATTATCCAATAACAAGAATCTTTTTTTAATGAGGAAAAAATGACAGTGCACCTTTAACAGACCAAATAAACAGACATGCCTATTTATGAATGTATATGTATTATTATAAGCCCCCAGTTGCATGAACATTAGGTAGTAAGCTTTTAATTTTGTCTAATGCTATTTCCTTTTAACTGACAAACATGAACATTAATTGTTTAAATCCAAAAGCTAATGCAGATATTTGTGCGAGTGTACTGACTTAAGGTCAGTTTGATTTCAAATGACAGATCATCATTATTTATTTTATAAAAGTGTGAGTTTTATTATTCAGTCATGCAATCAAGTGCATTTTCACAATTCACAAGGCTGTTATTTCAGACCTAGAGCTTCTGTTAAAGGGGTCATATGATGCTGCTAAAAAGAACATTATTTTGTGTATTTGGTGTAATGAAATGTGTTTATGCGGTTTAAAGTAAAAAAAAAACACATTATTTTCCACATACTGTACATTATTGTTTCTCCTCTATGCCCCGCCTTTTTGAAACGCGTCGATTTTTACAAAACGGAAGACCAAACAAAGTGGTTTCGCTTTCACAACGAAGCACACAGCGTCTTCACGACATGGCTGCAGTGTCAACAATACTACAGCGAGAATAAAAGTTACTCCTTCTTTCTTTGCGTGAACATTTGGGCGGTGTTATGCAAATCTTCCCACATAGTGAGGTAGGTATGTGGGGGCGTGTTCGAACGAGCCGTTTTAGGTAGGTGTGGCTAACTCTTAACTTTTATAAAGAATATCTCTTTGGATTTGAGACTTTAGTCTTTGCAACTTTACAGATCTTCTTTATGCACCAAGAGCTTGTAACACTCTAAAGAGAAGGGAAAAAATGAAATCGCATCATATGACCCCTTTAAAGTCCTTCATTGTTTGTACATTTTGTTCAATCAAGATTTGGTACAATATAACGTTTGTTTGCCAAGTTTGGTGAATCGGATCAAAAGCTATTCTTGAGAAATTCACAAATGTAACTCCAGCTTAGCTCAACTATATATTGTTTAAAGGTAATTATTGGAAATACTTAGTCAATTATTTATACGCCTGTTGTTTCGATTGTTTTCACAGGTTAAGCGGTTGATTGTGTACACTGCCTTATGCTCTCAGATCTCCCTCAGTATTACTTATTTATCCATCTGCTCCTATTAAAAATTAGGATGTGATTCATTTAATTATTTGATTTATTTGTTTTCTCAGAAGGATATACCTTTATTCCATATATTATCACCCTCTTGCCACATAAAATATTGCAAATATATATATATTTTTTTAACCTATAGTAGACTGATCCAGAACAGCAAAGTGTTACAAATGAACTGAATTGCTGATTATTTCTAGTAATTTACTACATGTTTAAAGCAATTTACATTTCACTTAAATGGACACATCCAAATGGTGATGCAGAGCCATAACACAAACAATGAAATAAGTAAATCCTACACACACACACACAAAAAACATTAGTGAGAATATTTACATACAACCTACTTTTTTTTAATGCAGAGGCTCCTCCACAGTTATACTGAGCTTCGCAGGTAAGATTCTGAGAGGGAAATCTGTACAGCTGCTATAGAGAAATGGATAGACTGCTTCTGTAAATGTGCTGGTGAAAGTGCACAGATGTTTGTTTGTAAGAGGATCAGAGAATGAAATATTTCCTCCGTCCCAGTCCAGCTGCACTCTGATCACCTTCAATCGATTATCAACATCTAAATGCTTGCGGGTCGTCAGTGGTGACTGTGTAGTGTACTGATCAGCCATATAACGCACACGCCACACTCCAGAGTCAAAGAAAACTTCTCCTTTTCTCTGGTTTAGATGCTGTGGTTACTCCAACAGACCAGCATGTGTTGTTTTGGACCTCCACATCCCAGAGGTGTGTTCCAGAGTTAAAGCCCACTGAACCCAACACACAGTGATAATAGTCAAATCTCTCTGGATTTTCTGGATACTGTTGTCCATCAGCGCTGAATTTGACATGGGTCAGATCATCAGTCAGGAACAGCAAAGGATATGCAGTGTTGGGGTCCAGTGTGACCGGAGCTGATAAGAATCATCACAAGACAAAGCTTGACTATTATTAGGCCTCATTGATGGTGGAGACACACCGATCTCAAAGCACACAGATAACCTCTAGACTTAATTAAGAATCAAATTCATCTTACATATTAATGTTGTGTTTGTTAGCATTTAAATTTAAAGTTCGATAATTTCAACATATTACTAATAATTGATTAATTTAAATAACTGATACTGCATTCTTCTTGGAAATTTGCTGAGGCCCCTACTGGACCCCGGTTGAGAATCACAGCACTTGACCAATAAACTTAATATATCTAGAGCGCCGTTTCAATAATTTATCTACTAACCCTTAAAATCTTAGGTCTGACAGTAAAATATGTAATGATAAAATATTTGTCATAAATTCATTTGAGCATTTGAATTGATTAAAGATGATAGAAAAAAAATAGCCAATGTGCAACTGAAACAGCCTTTTATTTGATTTTGTACATTTTATTGTACTATCTTTATTGTAACTTTTCTGATGTTAGCGGGCATGTTTACACAAATCTACATAATTATTTAGGTGTGTATTTTAAAAAAGTTTTAAATTTTCTTTTAAGTTAAATCATTTTTGTAATATTAGAAGGATGCACATTTATTCCATCACCCGCTCACTAAATAAAATATTGTAAATATAGTTGTTTACCTAAAGTAGACTAACCCAGAACAGGTTTGCACCATGCAAGTGGTACAAATGAACTGAATTGATGATTATTTCAAGTAATTTACTTTACTTAATAATGCTTGAAACAACTCATATTTGACCTAAACTGACACTTTACGTCCAAGTGAAAAAACACACACACACACACACATAAATTTTGCACCAAAAAGCACATTATAAGTGAATTCATTCCGATTGATGAATCTGAATGTAGTGTTTACATGAACGCTAAAGAAAGTGATCGGGTTGATGTGCGTGTTTATATGTCACAAGCTTCAAATCGGAATTGATTTTTTTTTACATGCGCACACTGCACAAATATAGAGTTTCTCACTGTTTGCACATAATAACCACTCTCCTACACGG